TGCATAAGGTAAATGTAACCATACCGGCTGAAGTCATCGGTAAATGTAATGAAGTATTAGAAACCACCTCTAGCTGGTGTGTTCATTGGCCCATATACATCTCTATGTATTAATTCCAATACATCACTTGCTCGCTCACCTTTACTATTAAAATGAGCCTTAGTTATCATTTCCAATAAACAAGATTCACACACATCAAATTGTTCGAAGGCAAAAAAATCTAAGAATCCATCTTTATGGAGCTTTGATATACGTTTCTCACTTATATGGCCTAAACGACAATGTCAAAGATAAGTCTAATTTGAATCATTTGTCTGTGATATTTTTGTATTTATGTTACAAATGACATTTTCTTTATCCAAAATATAAAGACCATTAACTAATTTTGTCGATCCATAAAAAACACTGTTGAGATAAAACGAACAACAATTATTCTTGATAATTATCTGAAAACCAATCTTATCCAAACAAGAAATAAAAATAATATTTTTATTCAAACTTAGCACAAAATAGCAATTCTCTAAATTATAATCAAGCCCACTAGGAAAAGATAAAAATGTCCCTATAACTAATGCAACAACTCTTGCTCCATTTCCCACTCGTAAGTCCATGACTCCCTTAGCCAGATTCCTTCTTTTTTGTAGTGTCCGCACATAAGTACAAATATGTGAACCATAATTGGTATCTAATACCCAATAAGTATATGCTAACAAATTAATATCAATAACATAAATACCTGGAATGAACGTCTCGTTTGCTTTTGCCTTTCTGACCTCTTCAAGGAAAATAGGGTAGTTTCTTTTCTAGTGTTATAGTTTGACCACAAAAGAGAAAATATTTAAAAATTTATTTGTCATAGTTTACAATGCATAATCATCTTGGATTTGAGTCAATAAAAACATATAAAGGGGGAAATTACCAAAAATAATACCACTTACAAAATGTAATTTATTAACTACACCAGGTGAAATTATCTGGCCTCACCAACCCTCATTATTGAGAAAACTTGGCTAGCAGTTATATTTGAACCATCGTCAAATCTTACAGCTGTATCTTCTTCGTCATTGGAAGGTAATTAACGAAGAACTGATATCGTGAATTCTAATGAAGCATTAGTGGTACTATCTTCATACGGTCTATTCATCGGAGTTAACTGAAGCTGTAATACATACTCTAAATCGTATAACATATCTTGCATAATCGACCATTCTCTATCGGATGGCCTTAAACATTTTTCGACTGTCTCAGCAAACTTCCTTAATGAACTGGGGTTAATTATATCCACTAGCATTGGATCAATAATATTCTCAAGTTGTCAATTCCTCAACCAAAGCATTCCCCATTTAGCTAAGTTCAATTTTTCCCTCCTAATCGAGGTGATAAATGTCGGCTTGGCACACCGTACTTCGAAAAGCACGACTCCAAAAGAGTAGACATCATATTTATTCGTCAATTGTGGTGATAGGAAGTATTCGGGTTGAGATACTCGAATGTACCTTTCACGTTAACACTGTGTTTAACATTAGGAATGCCTAATTTCGAGAGATCGAAATCAGCAACTTTGGCTACTAATTGTTCGTCAAGTAGGATGTTTGTGGACGTTACATCACGGTGAATGATTCCTCCAGCTGATCTAGTGTGTAGATAATTAAGACATTTGGTTGCATCAATGCAAATTTCAAGCCTCTGCTTCTAGGATAATTCGGATCGAGCACTGTATGATTTGTCGAGAGAGGGAGTGGAGTAATAAAGATTATCTCTAAGGGTAGTTTCTTTTCTAGTGTCTCATCTTGTTGTTGTGGAAACATTGTCCTTCCTTCCTTAGTCTCCATTTAGTTTCAATGCATCATTTACTTTAGGCAGACCATCAGAATGAGCTTAGGTCCAATCATGTTACTTTCAGAAGTTCGTAACATGCTCAGTAACTATAAAAAAATATTGTTAATTTTATTTATTTTGAAATTAATGCCTTAAATAAAATAAAATGTTGGTGAAATGATAATTACCTTATTTTATGATAATCGTGCATTTGTTCATTTTTATATGTTGCTTCATTTTTATTTTATACATGATTAATATGAGATCCTAAATAAGTAAAGAATGAATATTCTCATATAGGGAAGAGATAGATAGGGTAACCTTCCCATTGAAGGATGTGCAAATCTCGTGATCTCTTCTTAAAAATAGAGAATATTCTTTTAGTTCGTAATGGATTAATTAAGCGATAAAATAATCATTAGATAACCCTTGATTTATAGCATTTTTTAATATCACCACCACAATGGTATACAAGCTATTATGTACCAATTTTGGATGTTGTGGGGGTGTTTACACTTCCACACACATAATCGACTTTTGATCCCTTAAAAATGAATTTCTTGTAAACGCTAATCAATTTTGTTTTAAAAATGATTTTTATTTATTTAAATTATTTTTAAAATGTTTTAGGTACTCGAACTACCTAACCCAAAGGTCGATGGTGACTCTAATTTAAGATTTATTCATTTTCTAAATAGAAGAATTTATTATATCTTAAAAATAAAAATCATTTTCGTTTTGGAAAAAAAGTTACGACAAGATGGTTGTTATTCCTAAAAGTTTTAGATTTGAGTACTAGTGATTGTAGTGTATTTGAGCATTCATTATTAAATGATAAAGGAGAATGAATTTGAGTTTTAGATTTGTTTATACTTTTTGTTCAATTAATTTTCATTGAAAGAGAAATCTATGGAGCTAACAACCATTTCTTCAAAATAGGTACCCACATGATATCAACACCTGTAAAAACTTCTCTCGAAAAAGTTGATTTCATTAAATCCTTTGTTCTTCTGTAGAATATATAGAATAAAAGAAACAAGTTGGCCCATGACAATGTATTACATAATGATCAAGAAGTGATTCATGTTGCATAGAATTTGGTTTATGACTTCACAAAGGCTAAGGATGATTTCCATCACAGACCTTCCCTTGATATCTGTATCACCCTAATCCAGTCCGACCCGAAGATCGGTGGACTATGATGTCACATGGGACCATCGAAGTGGCTAACCCAATTTTTTTCTTTTAAAACAACTGTAAAACATTATAAAATAACCATTCAAGTGATATAAAATAAAAGCATAATAAATATGAGTTTTACAACGTTGGAGAGCTCCTAATCATCCAAAATAATACAATGAGTTTAAAACAAAATAAAGTTACGACTAAATAATAATTGGGTTTACAATAATGCATGTCCTCTAATACAATCAAGACGTACTATGAAGTCTCTATTGAGCTGAAATACCTGGTGACGATAACACTCCACGGACGACCTCTTAAGAACTTTCACAGGGAAACACATTCTGAATGTTGAGCTTACAAGTTCAGTGCCTCAAAAATAAATATACTATACTACTTGAATTCACTAAATGTGCATGCTAGAGGCATATATATGAAGACTTAAGGAAATGGTGATATGACATATTGAGGTAGGCATCATGGTGTGACTGAGGGTTCTGTATCTCGGAGGAAACACACCCTTCTAGCCTTTTTATATACCCTTAGGTATTTAGGGTGAAATATGAAATTGTATCATAAATGTACACCCAACCAACTTACTCCATTGAGTCTTGGGACAATTGCACCCAACTTGTAACTGAAGTGTATTGGCACTTACTAGGATATCCAACTGTACGATCGTATCTGCTAAAGTAACTCAAGTGTCCTGATTGTGCCCCGAGCTTCAAACAAGGCTGGTTTTATGTCAACCTAGTTGTTATTGTTTCTAACTATTCTGAGTTCATTTTTATTCTCAATTGAAGTTTTATTTCATTTCAACTGGTAATAACCTGACCTCAAGTTGATTTTGAAGAAAACGTACACTTCCCTCAACTAGTTGAAGGGATCGTGTATCCTAGGAAGTAGGTAACGGTTCTTGATGGTTAACTTGTTCAACTGCCTATAATTGATGTATAGCCTCATCGACCCATCCTTCTTCTAAACAAACAAGACCGACGCTCTCCACGAAGATATGCTCAGTCGGATAAAATCGTTTTCAAACAAATTCTGAATATGAGCCTTTATCTCCTTCAATTCTATTGGTGTCATGTGATAGGGAGCAATTGACACCAGATTTGAACCTGACATTACCTTAATGACAAACTCTAGTTGGTAATCAGGTGGTAAACCCGACAACTCTTCTGGAACACATCGGGGAAATATCACACTGCTCGAATATCATCGAGTGTTGGAACTAAAATTTGAGTGTCGACTACATGAGCCAAGAAGGCCTCACACCCACGATCGATCATCCGCTAAGCTTTTATAGTTGATACAATCTTTGATTGGATTGACTTCTCGCTGGTCATTACTAACTTGGTACCATTATTCGCCCTGAGCTTAAGTTGTCTGGCTTTGCACTTCAAACTGGCATTGTTCTCAATTAACCAATCCATACCCAAGATCATGTCGAATTGTCTAAAAGGTAACTCCATCAAGTTTTCTAGGAAGCTCTAACCCTGAATTTCTACTAGGTATCATCGAAGAATCTTGTCAACTAGGATATCTTGACCTACAGGGCTCGATACTCGAATTCATACCTCTAAGTCTTCGACTGAGATTTTTATCTCTTGAACTAGGTAAGAGCATATATAAGAGTAGTAAGAGCATATATAAGAGTAGTACAAATTGGGATCTATCAATGTAGTAATTGGAATGGGGAATATTGTGAATGTAATTGATATCACGTCTACTACATCACACTCCTCTCGGGCTCTCTCCGTGTACTGTCTAGAGGCTACCCTCTGCTTTGCACCGACCACATATCTGGTTGTCCTTTTGCTCTACTATCCAGATGTAGTACTACCACATCTTCATGGTCCTCGACCTCTATGTACATATGGTGTTGATCTCTAGGTCGACTTTGGAGTCGCTCTTTAAACCCTCAAATAATCTCTACCAATATGGTATAAGAAGTCGCAACTAAAATAACCCCTCAATCCCTATTGACACATCCCTATATGACTCATCCCATACTGAGCACAAATAGGGTGAGTGAAGACATTCGTTTAATCACCGACACTAGCTCCTTTTTCCTGGAAAAAGTACATATCATCGGAATCGATGAAATGGGGGATGAAGGGTCACTGGATGTACCGCCTTTTTCTTGGAAAAAGCTTTGGCTTTTCATGGGACCCAGTTTTTTAATGTCGATAGCGTTTTTAGATCCTGGTAATTTAGAAGAGGATCTTCAAGGGAGCTATAGAGGGTTACTCTTTGATGTGGTTGTTGATGTGGGCCACGACAATTGGGTTGTTGGTTCAGCTGCTGTCGACTAGGCTTGGTGTGGCGACGAGGAGACACTTGGCTGAGCTGTGTAGAGAAGAGTATCCGACTTGTGCCAGGATGATTTTGTGGGTAATGGCGGAATTGGCTTTGATTGGAGCTGATATACTGGAAGTTATTGGAAGTGCTATTGCTATTAAGATTTTGGGTAATGGTGCTTTGCCTTTGTGGGCCGGTGTTGTTATTACAGCTTTTGATCGGTCAGTATTCTTATTGATTTTTGATGAATTATTTTCTTATTTCAAACTTTCACTAGTATTTTTTTTATTATATATGATCTCTTAATTTTGAAGAATTTAGAGCTATTTTAGTAAATATAAAACCCAATTTTGTCTGAGCAAATGATAAAAGTGAGACTTTTTAATGTTATAATTTTGTCAAGCCCTGACTAAGTTATTCCCGTACCTTCCTCTATGAAGTAGCTGGCTGTAACATCATAACTTGTTGAAGTACGACCACTTTTCTTTCTATGCCTTGTTTCAGTTTTATCTTCTTGTTTCTTGAAAACTATGGAGTGAGGAAGCTGGAAGCATTTTTTGCTGTCCTTATTGCTACAATGGCAGTCTCATTTGCTTGGATGTTTGGTCAAACAAAACCCAGTAGCACCGAAATTCTTCTTGGTGAGGCACTCGGTTCCATTGTTGGCTGTAGCAATTTCTTTCGTACCATATTGTGTAATTGACTGATGAGTGATATGATCAAATGGTTTGGTTTTTTCAGGTGTTTTGATTCCAAAACATAGCTCCAAATCCATCAAACAAGCTGTGGGAGTTGTGGGCTGCATTATTATGCCTCACAATGTATTCTTGCACTCTGCTTTTGTGCTATCACGTGAAATCGATCACAGCAAGGCCGATTGCAAGAAGCTCACAATTATTACTCAATAGAGTCGGCCACAGCACTTTTGATATCCTTTATAGTCAATCTGCTTGTCACAACTGTCTTTGCCAAGGCATTTTATGGCACAGAAATAGCCAGTAGCATTGGTCTTGTGAATGCTGGGCAGTATCTTCAAGAAAAATTTGTTGGTGGGGCATTCCCCATTATTTATATCTGGGCAATTGGGTTGTTAGCAGCCGGTCAAGGTAGCACTATTACCGGCACTTATGCAGGGCAGTTCATCATGGGAGGTTTCTTGAACTTGAGGCTGAAAAAATGGCTAAGAGCATTGATCACTAGGTGTTTTGCAATTATTCCTACTATGATAGTTGTCAACACACATTTTTCGTCCTACTAGGATTCAAACTCCTAAAAATATGATAGAATTTTAGGATTCAAACTCCTAAAAATATAATAAAATTTTGCTAGGATTCAAACTCCTAAAAATAGGATAGAGTTCTACTATTATTTAAATTCCTAAAGATAGGATCCACAAACACTATAAATAGCCATTGTAACTCACCATTTGAAGAGAGGATTTACACACAAAACACATAGGAAAGCACGGAAAATACAAAGGCAAAGTTGTTGTAAACGATTCGAAAAGGAAATAAAAGGTAGCATCTTTTTTTACATTGGTTCGTTCATTTCTCGCATGTGCACGTTATTTTTCTTGAGATTTGGTTCGAATAACCCAAAACGTGGGTTGCGCCGATGACTAAAAAAGGGTGGGATTTCAAAGTTTCGAACCTAGATCCACCCCCGAGGCGTGTTCATTTTTTTTAAAATATTTAATTCTCCCCCCTAAATCATTTTTTTCCTACTTTATTATTCTTGTTATATATGCATATTACTTTCTATTAATTTTATTATATATGTATATATGTTTTTTTATTAGTGTTATTATTATATATATATTTATATATTTCCTATTTTGCATGTATATATTACTTTTGATTTTCTTTTTTTATTATTATTATTTTACTTATATATATATATATGCTTTTACTTTTTTATATATTTTACTCATTTATTTATCTATTTTTATATTTATCCTATATTTTATGTTTTTATATTCTTTTACTTGTTTTATTTATTTATTTGCATTATCATTTTATTTTTATTTAGTTGTTTGTTGTGCATATATTAGTGTTATTGTTTTTTATTTTATATATTCTATTCATTTTATATTTACTTTATTTCTTACTTAATCTCCTTATTTTATTTGTTTTACTTTATTTATCATTTATTCATCTCTTCTAACCCATATTTTGACTTTTAAAGGGTATATTTGTAAATCTGTCAAAGGTAAGTAATTTTGGATCATTATTTTATCTTTTAATTTAACTTGTTATTTTTCTTAATTAAGACAACTGGAAATTACGTAGTACCGAAAGGGCGGTTCAAGGGTGCTAATCCTTCCTTGACCGTAACCGACTCCCGAGCCCGACATATTTCTGGTAAGACGCAGATCAGATAAGAAATAGGGTATCCGATCAACCCATTTATCTTTAAATAAATGATCGGTGGCGACTCCAATCCACATTTTTCAAGTCGAAGCCCAATTCCGGGGCCCAACCGAAAGACGGTTGCGACAGCTTGGCGACTCCGCTGGGGACGGTAAGTGAGTCAGGCTAAGGTAATTTTCAATTGTCTTTTTAACGAAAAGGGTAAGTTTAAATTTTAAGGTAATATTTTGATCCTTTTTACTTACTTTTGATTATTTTCGAGTAAATAGTTGGACTAATCGTTTTTTCATGATTTCAGCCTTCAAAGTTTTCTTTTTTTCATCTAAAGGCTCTATACTCGAGCTCCGAACCCGTTTTAAGTGGGGGTGAAAGCGACGCCTTCGTGTGAATTTATTCACCGTATGGGCCTAGCAAGTAGCCTTCGGGATTCATATACCTTATGCCTTCGTGTGAATTTATTCTCCGTATGGGCATAAGGGAATGTGTCCTCTCGAGTTTAACTTAGTCCACACAAGCCTGTGATGGGTTTAGGACTAACGGTCTGGTAGGCCCAAGGGAGCACCAGCAAGGAGAACTCGGGTACCGTTTTTTAGAACCTAACCCATGAGACTATGGAGAAATTAAGCCCACCCCAAAACCTCATTCCAAACCCTAGGATGCCGGAATTATTTCCTACTTTACTTTCTGTTCAAAGCATGTGAACTAGAAATTTATGCGGTTAGGACTTGTTCAAAATCAACTTGCGGGATAGAGATCATGTTCGGGTAGGAATAATAAGCATGTGAGGTAGGACTTTCATTTTTATGATCGTTTTTGATTATTTTTCACCTCACTAACTCTTTTCATCTTTATTTTATTTTATTTTATTTTCATCACTTGCATCATTCAAAAGAGGTCATTGATCCACTAAAACGTGTTTGTTAAAACTCGAATAATCTGAATCCATGGACAAAGGTGTTGTAATACAAGAGATGAAAATACAGAGGATAGTCTACAAGGCGACTATGTGTCACATTCAATCCTGAAGACATGGTACCCACAATTGAAGAGTATATCACTCTGCTGCATTATAAAGGACTCAGAATGAACCGGGTCTACATCAAGCACAATGAAAGCTTATCTTTGAAGAACTGACTGGTAGATGTTGCAGGGGTAGGATGAAGGTTATGTATCTTGGAAGTCCATTTGAACACGACAATGGCAAAATGATAGCTGAAATTGGAGACCATTGCTGGCGAATTCAAGAAACAGATTAATGAACTTCACATAGTTCCTATCAATTAAGGGCTCCAATGACGAATTCATTGGGAACATACTCAACAAAAGTAAATACTCGAGATGTGATCATTCAAGACTTCTTGGACCAGTATGAAAAATAACTCAACATTTTCACAGTTCATCTAGAGAGGCCGGAGCGGTTCGACAGGTTATTCAACCGGTGAAAGACGAAAGCAGAAGACTAGTCAACATGTTAGAAGCTGTCAGGATATTTTTGTCTCTTAAAAGATAAAACATTTTTGTCCCCAATAAGGATTATTCATAATAACATGCACATTTCTTGGATCAATACCTCGAACATTTCATGCATTCTTGCATTTTTGCATCTTCATCTACATTTTTAAGCATATTCATAAACATGAAATTAAGTCACGGATGATTCGATGAAGTGGTCTTAACCACATTACACCACATGAAAGTAAGATTTTAACAATTAAAGAAAAACTAAAATCAGTACAGGGGGAGCTGGATCAGTTGATTGTAGGACTAAGCCTGCCAGGATGATCTGAGAAAAGAGTGCCCATCTCCTAAGGGCTACGATGTTGAAGCTGTTGCCACATAAGGATTCCCAAAAATTCTTCTGAAAACTGTAAGGCGCTTGCCGAAGAAGGGGGCATGGCATATACCATTTGTACTTATAAGGATTGTTTTGTTTGAACACATCTTTTAAACGATTGAATTCATGTTACTTTCTAAGGTGGAGCAATTGAACAAATTTTAATCTTTAGTTCTTTGAATATTAAATGAATTAAGGATTCTTTTAATTCTTCAAGAATTATAGATTTTTGACATATGACAAGATTAGACATTTCTTACCCTGTCTCAAACCCTAGAATAAAATACCTTGATTCTTTACCCAAAATAACTCATGGTCATAACCAAAAAACCAAATTTTGACATTACCTCCATTTGAAATTCTTGAACATTACCTTTATCTTTTTGATACACCCATACCTTTCTTTGAGTCAATAAGATCACACAACTGTCTTTTTAGACTCAAAATTAACCTTTTTTACCATTAAAACCCAAGGCATTGAGTTGTTCATTTGAACATGAGCATTCTTCCAAGATACAATTTGGGACATATCGTCGGGAGCCTGAACATTGAGACATGATGGGAGCAAGGAGCAAAAAAAACAATTCATTTGAAATAATTCTATCATGCATTAATTGCACTGTTTTCATGTGAATAGAATTAATCCTGAAAATCTATCCCCCTGGGGATACTTCTTCTGTGAAGACTTACATGTATGAAATGATGAACGGCTTTCTTTCTTTATCCCTTCACAACAGGAGAAAATATATATCCCTTGCATCCCCTTTTGAGCCTATAGTATTTTTTTTCTTCTGATTCAACCCTAACCAAGGATCACCCTCCACACTGGGGGGCAAGGTGGAGAAAATCTGCTCACATGAGTGAAGACATTGATTCAGATGAGATACCGAAAGGTGAACCAAATGCCAAGTGCGATGATTCAATCAGAACAAAAAGGGCAAAAAGAAAAAAGAAAAGAAGCAAAAAAGGAAAAAACAAGAACAAAAAAGAAAGAACAAAAATAAAAAAAAGGGGACAAAAAGCACATGCAAAATTCCCTAAAGACAAATGGTGCATCAAGCTTCAAACTACGAGATTGATCAAGCACAATCATTCCCGAATCACTTCACTCGAAGATCATAGAGCATTAAGAGAAAGAGACATTTTGAGCAAGACAAGATTGAAAGCATCAAAATGAATTGATCCTTGGTTCAACACCCTGAAACACTTGTTTGGGCCTATTTATCATTTTCTTTCATAACCATGAACCCTGGCCTACATTACGTGCCTTAAAAGTCCTTTCTAATCATACATGGATTTCTAAACAGGAGAGACTATCTTCAGATTTCATCCCGCCCATCAGGATTAATCTTTGTTTGCAAAAAACAATGTAATTAATGTATGATAGAGAAAAATAACAAAGGGGGGTTCAAGACATAAATCCTGAATAACGTCTTGAAACCAAAGGAGGATTCGAGTTGAAAACCTGAAAAGGCGGCTCGAATATAAAAATTGTGCAACTGAGGCGATCACACAAATTCCTTGATAAGGCATCGCACAATCCGAGTGTGACAACGAAGGTTGGGAGTCAGAGAACACTTCCAGTAGAGAAGCATGCAAGCTACCCCATCAATCCTTTGAGCATCAAATACCAAACCTTTGAGCATCAAATGCCAAACCTTTGACCAAACACAATGACCTGAGACTTTTTATCTTTTCCTTACTTGACCATCTCTCAAAGATAGCTTTGATCTTGACACTTGTCAAATAGCTATAATTTATTGAAGGATTAACATTGTAATTAATTCTTTGATATCCAATGAACTCTAGTTTTATGATTCGTCTCAATTGTAAAACTGTGAAAGGGGCAATATTTTTAAAACTTGGGATTAAACATTTTTTGAAACTCTTTTAATTGATATTAAAAGAGAAAGAAAAACATTTTTTTTCAAACAAGACAGTCTCTCTAGAGTGGATCTTGGTAAATGACATGTGACTCTTAGACACAAAACTCATGCTCAGAATCAATGCTGAAGCAAGAAATGAGGAACATTTGGGGCATCTTTGAAGATTCAACATGAAATATTGGGGCATTTTTTTAGGCATCTTTGGGGATTCAACATCCTAATGCGAATTATCATGCCTTTTTCAAGAGATAAAATATAACCAATTCATGTTACATGCATCTTATGCATACATTTTAGAGCGTCATATCTATCATTTTCTTTCCACGTACATAATTTTTATAGCTTTAGAGTCAAGTTCGACTTCAAGACGAAGGATACTCGATTCAAAAGCACCTTTACAGATTGATGTCGGTTGCTTAGCTCAGCAGCAAGAAACTACACTTCAACCAACTCGACAGACAGAAAGATCGATATTCATTTTCAGATTCGACATTTCCAATATAAATTTTGTCTCGCTTGAGACAGTCTCATTTAATGCAGATGATTATCTCACTTGAGATTGCTTTTTTAAAACAGACTTTGTCTCACTTGGGACTGTTTTACTCGAAAGAAGATTTATTTCACTCATGATTGTTTTTCTTAAAACAAGATTTGTCTCGCTTGAGACCGTTTTCACTAGAAGAGTTTTGTCTATCTTGAGACAGTTTCCCTTGAAATAAATTTTGTCTCTCTTGAGACAGTTTCCCTTGAAACAAAATATTTGAATATGTTTTCTTTGAAACAAATTCCGTCTCCCTTGAGACAGTTTCTTTTGGAACTAAGTTTTGTCTCTCTTGAAACAATTTTCGTCTATCTTGAGACAGTTTCCCTTGAAACAAAACCTTTGAATTTATTTCCCCTAAAACAAATTTTATCTCCCTTGAGACAGTTACTCTTGAAACACAAAATCTTCAAATTTATTTCCCTTAAAACATAATTTTGTTTCCCTTGAGACCGTTTCTCATGAAACAACAGATATCTTTGAGATCGTTTCCCTTGAAACGAATTCTATCTCTTTCAAGGCAACTTCTTTTGAAGCATCATCTGAACCGTTACACTCAGCTCAGGCACATACTTGAGATGGTCGAGAAGCATTTCTCAAATCAAAAATAGAATGTGCACATCAGATTTGAACATTTGAAGAATTCAAGATCAGGGATCAAAATTTGAAGATTCAAGAATCAAGATTCCAGACAGGCAACTGGAGATCGAGATTTCTCTCCAGAGCCCCAAGATAACATATGTTGCATATGCATTTTAGGCACACCTAAGAGCATTGCATCCATAGCATCACATATATGCATAACTTTTTCAGGTTTTAGCTAGAGTCAATTTCAACTTCGCGGAGAAGGATATTGAACTCAAAGCGACACGATTTGCTCGAGAGTGGATTTCAACTTAACGACGAAGGATATCTAGCTCGAAGCCAAACTTCACAATAAAGGGGTCTCCACGGTTTCAACTTCACGGCGAAGGGAATTGTGTCCACCCGCAACATACAATACTTGGATTTCAACTTCATGATGAAGGATATTCAAGTCAAGGCTCAACTTCACAACGAAGGGGCCATCTGCGATTTCAACTCCACGAAGGAGGATATCGTGGCACTCGAGGCAACACAAGTTCAACTTCACAACGAAGGGACGGCTGGTTGTCAACAAACAATTTCTCAATTTCAGAGCCAATTTCAACTTCACAACGAAGGATATTGGACTCCAAACAACGCAAGTTCAACTTCACGACGAAGGGACCGCTGCCTGTCAACAACAACTTCTCAATTTCAGAGCCAATTTTAACTTCACAATGAAGGATATTGGACTTCAGACAACGCAAGTTCAACTTCACGACGAAGGGACCGCTGCCTGTCAACAACAACTTCTCAATTTCAGAGCCAATTTCAACTTTACAATGAAGGATATTGGACTTCAGACAACGCAAGTTCAACTTCACGACGAAGGGACCGCTGCTTGTCAACAACAACTTCTCAATTTCAGAGTCAATTTCAACTTCACAACGAAGGATATTGGACTCCAGACAACGCAAGTTCAACTTCACGACGAAGGGACCGCTGCTTGTCAACAACAACTTCTCAATTTCAGAGCCAATTTCAACTTCACAACGAAGGATATTGGACTTCAGACAACGCAAGTTCAACTTCGCGACGAAGGGACCGCTGCTTGTCAATAACAACTTCCCAATCTCAGAGCCAATTTCAACTTCACAACGAAGGATATTGGACTCCAGACAATGCAAGTTCAACTTCACGACGAAGGGATCGCTGCTTGTCAACAACAACTTTCCAATCTCAGAACCAATTTCAACTTCACAACGAAGGATATTGGACTCCAGACAACGCAAGTTCAACTTCACGACGAAGGGACCGCTGCTTGTCAACAAAATTTCATTCAAATTCAATTTCAACTTCATAACGAAGGATATTGGACTCGAGACAACACAAGTTCAACTTCACAACGAAGGGACGGCTGGTTGTCAACAGACAATTTCCCGGTTCCAGAGCCAATTTCAACTTCACGACGGAGGATATTGGACTTGGAACAATGCTACTTACTTGGATTTCAACTTCACGACGAAGGATATCCAACTCAAAGAAAGATTATCTGCCATCAAAATTGTCGAGTTCGACTCCATTCAGATCGATGACACATCAATCGCACTACTTTCCGGTTGCAGTCGAGGTTTTCAAGTCGAGAAGAGGACCTGGGTTAGCTGTGCCTTAGTGACAAGCAACCATTTTCAAACAACATAGCTTAAGTCAAGAAAAAGCTATCTGTCAATGAAGATTTCTGAGTTCGATTCTGATCCAAGGTCTTTAAACCAAGAAGAAGACCGAAGGGTAACGGGAAGCCACGTGCCGATTCAAATTTCGAACTACGGCTTTAATTTCATATCATTTCAAGATGAACTCGACTTCACGATGGAGGAGTCATCCGTAACTCAATTCGACAGGGAGTTATTGAAACATCAAAGTTAATTTTCAACACCACTGAATGAAAAGTGTGTCTTTTAATCTTTGCCCTATCCCCGTTACACGACTATGGGCAAAGAGGGGCAGCTGTCAACACACATTTTTCGTCATACTAGGATTCAAACTCCTAAAAATATGATAGAATTTTAGGATTCAAACTCCTAAAAATATGATAAAATTTTGCTAGGATTCAAACTCCTAAAAATAGGATAGAGTTCTACTATTATTTAAATTCCTAAAGATAGGATCCACAAGCACTATAAATAGCCATTGTAACTCACCATTTGAAGAGAGGATTTACACACAAAACACATAGGAAAGCACGGAAAATACAAAGGCAAAGTTGTTGTAAACGATTCGAAAAGGAAATAAAAGGTAGCATTTTTTTTACATTGGTTCGTTCATTTCTCGCATGTGCACGTTATTTTTCTTGAGATTTGGTTCGAATAACCCAAAACGTGGGTTGCGCCGATGACTAAAAAAGGGTGGGATTTCGAAGTTTCGAACCTAGATCCACCCCCGAGGGGTGTTCATTTTTTTAAAATATTTAATTCTCCCCCTAAATCATTTTTTTCCTACTTTATTATTCTTGTTATATATGCATATTACTTTCTATTAATTTTATTATATATGTATATATGTTTTTTTATTAGTGTTATTATATATATATATATTTATATATTTCCTATTTTGCATGTATATATTACTTTTGATTTTCTTTTTTTTTATTATTATTATTTTACTTATATATATATGCTTTTACTTTTTTATATATTTTACTCATTTATTTATCTATTTTTATATTTATCCTATATTTTATGTTTTTATATTCTTTTACTTGTTTTATTTATTTATTTGCATTATCATTTTATTTTTATTTAGTTGTTTGTTGTGCATATATTAGTGTTATTGTTTTTTATTTTATATATTCTATTCATTTTATATTTACTTTATTTCTTACTTAATCTCCTTATTTTATTTGTTTTACTTTATTTATCATTTATTCATCTCTTCTAACCCATATTTTGACTTTTAAAGGGTATATTTGTAAATCCGTCAAAGGTAAGTAATTTTGGATCATTATTTTATCTTTTAATTTAACTTGTTATTTTTCTTAATTAAGACAACTGGAAATTACGTAGTACCGAAAGGGCGGTTCAAGGGTGCTAATCCTTCCTTGACCGTAATCGACTCCCGAGCCCGACATATTTCTCGTAAGACGCAGATCAGATAAGAAATAGGGTATCCGATCAACCCATTTATCTTTAAATAAATGATCGGTGGCGACTCCAATCCACATTTTTCAAGTCGAAGCCCAATTCCGGGGCCCAACCGAAAGACGGTTGCGACAATAGTTGCTCTTATTTTCGATACTTCTGAATCAGCGCTAGATGTATTAAATGAATGGCTTAATGTGTTTCAATCGATTCAAATCCCCTTTGCTCTTATCCCACTTCTTTGTTTGGTATCCAAGGAGCAAGTCATGGGCACCTTCAAAATTGGTTTTGTGCTCAAGGTATGCTACCGCTAATGTCTTTGTTTTGTTGTCTAAAAGAATCGCTGTGCCAATGTTATACTATGCCACCATTTCTGTTTATGCTCTTAAACGTTTCCCGTCTCTCCTTTGCAGACAGTTGCATGGCTCGTGGCAATTCTGGTGATGTTGATTAACGGGTATCTTCTACTCGACTTCTTCTCCTCCCAAGTCACTGGTGTAATATTCACAAGTGTAGTGTTTGCGTTCATCGGCGGATATGTTGCGTTTATAATCTACCTTGTTTCTGGAGGTTTTACTTCATCTGCTTGTTACCCTCAGAATTACCTCTATCTCTTCTATGTTTCTTAGCCATGTGGGATTGTTTTGTTCTCATATTTTTACTCTTTAGACTTTTGGGATGATCTTCTATATTTCTTAGCCATGTGGGATTGTTTTTTTAAAAAAATTAAACCAAACATAGACTTTTGTTATGATTTTTTTAGCCCAAAATTTATTTTTTTGATTATAGTTATATAATTATATTTATTATTTAATATGTTTTACCTTAAATATTATGTTGTAGTTAATTTGAATCATTTTGTTTCACTTGATTTTATGGTTTTTAACTTATATAAGTTATGACTTTTTAAATATAACTTGTGATATAAAAAAATATTTTTTATTAAATATTTTTGGTATTTTTATTTAATTTTTTAAATAATTATGACTTCGTCTGGTTCTTCCGATCGATCGGACTGATTCGACCGGTTGAACTAATAAACTGATAGCATGACCGATTTACTAACCGGTCCGGTTGTGAAAACCATGATTTTTAAACGATGGATTGTGCTTTTCAAGTTTATTGGAAATTATTGATATGCGTGTACTTGTTCTAGTGTGTCCACCTATGCAATTCTGACTACTTTGATTTTAACCTGTTACAGGACCAGAACTCCATTCATCTGTTTATTTTATAGAAAGACAAAAAAATTGATGCTTTTGTTGATTGAGTTGTTTTCTAAGTACTAAATTTGAACTCTAGGAAGCAATGTTATTTTACTGTTCATTTATCGTTTCTGGTGTAATTTAAATTGGTCACCGAGCACCAACTACATAATAGGTTAAACAAATGCAAACGGGAGCTTTTGATGGACTTTTAATGCACACTTCAGACTTGCATATTAATTAAGAATTTTAAGACATCTTATGGAAATGTTTTGGAAGATCTCAGGTCCGCTCATCAACCTACATTCCTAATACCTCTGCAATTCTAAGTGTTCCTTTAGATCATTCAACTCTTTCAATATAAATTGTTTTCTTCCTTTAGATCATTCAAACTCTTTCAATATAAATTGTTTTCTTGACTAATTTTGCTAGCTGAACATCGAGTGAAGCCACCTGATACCTTCGCAAGTTATAAGTTGGTGCAATGGATACACAACAGTCTATTACAGTATGTGCATGCAAATTTTTTAATTTTTTTTAATAATTCATTAATAATAAAATGAATCAAAATTACAACGCATCAAAATGTAGAGAGAAATTTTGAGACAATAGTCACCAAAATAATCATACAAAAGAAAAATGTTAAACCTAAAGATACGAAGAGCGTTAAAATTTTTCCATTGAGAATGGCAACCAATATCAAAATCTAATAATCTTCATAAAAACTCATTGGCTCTGTCGAATAAGACGTTTTAAAAATGATACAGGAGTGGTGGCAAACCAAATAATCTAGCAGGCTACTTCGCTACACAATTCTGATTACATCGGCAAACAATCTTTTACCAAAAGTGGGAATTGATAAAAGAGAGAATCTGACTATAATTGACTACTAACAAAACCAATTAAAAAATAAATATCGTGATAATTTTTTTACGATAACCAAAACTACTGCAAAAATATACAAAAAAATATATTAAAAACAATAAGGATCGTGTTACATGAGTATAAAAAACTCCTGCCACTAAAACAAAAAAAACATGTTACAAAGAATAATCTTTATTTAAAATTAAAAAAAAACTAAAAAGAAATATAAATAAAAAATAAATAATTAATAATTATCGACGATCGACGGTCAATAAATTGACGCCTCGGCCGACAAAACAAAATGTGTGGACATTTATTATTAAAAAATTTTAGGGGAAAAAAATGACGTGAAGAAAACGCCAGAAGACCCAGGCATCAGAAGACTACTATTAATTTATTTTTCTCATCAAGAATTAAGAGATCAAAGCAAAAACACCCCAAGAATCCCAGAATTCACAGGCTGCATTAAGGTACAATTTCTTCTTCTTTCTGTTAACTTTTTAATGTTCTTTTACTGTGGCATATCTGTTTACTGCTCACTTTTAATTTTGATATATGCATTTTGGTGCTAGTTTAATTTCCCTTCTTTTTAGGAAGTCTCACGTGCAGCAATTTAATGTACGATTAAGAAAACACACTATCGGTTTTGTTATTATTTTTTTAATAAAATCAGTAAAAATTACCAAAAATATTATTATTTCTACCGGTTTTGTTATTATTGAGAGTTTTACCGGATTTGGTAATATATCCGGTAAAAAAATAATGTTTTAGGTAGTGTTTTACCTGATATATTACAAAACTCGATAAAACGCTCAATAATATTTTAAGTAGAAATAATAATATTTCCGACAATTTTTTACCGGTTTTGTTAAGAAAAACAAAATCAATAGCTCATTTCCTTAAGGACGCCGTTAGGTTTTTTTTCTGACATACAAAATTTGAGGTTTTGAAACAAAATGAAGAACAGAAAAATAAAATGAGCTTTAAGAGGATATTATTACTCTGAAGTTACTGACTTGCTGGAATTGGTCAAAACATAATGGTTAAAGAAAGTTTCTAAAACCTTACACCTTATGAAATGTTTGTTTGAATCTTGTCATCTCAATGCGATAACATAAATTTGTTTGTTTTATCAATATCCCAGTTCAGATGGGACTCAGATGATTGATTATTTCTGTTTTTCACCCTCTGCTCCTCTTTCTTATTTGTGGTCTTGCTTGACTTTTTTTTCTTCCAGAAACTGATCATATGGAGATGTCTTTGTTAAAAGCACTTCTTAGTAACATTTCCTTGTTTTTAAAATTGTCATACCTTGAGAAAATTAACTCAGAACCAATTTGGAAGTACTACCGACGAGCAAAAGAGATATTAAAACTGTTGAAGCACATCATTCTTAATGCAATCACTGGTTCAGACATTACTTCTGATGAAGTGCTTAGCAAGGCATTTGAAGAATTGTGTCCCTCTGTACAAGAATTGCTGGAGAAATTTGAAACCTGGCAACCCCTTTTGAGTAAAGTTTATTTTGTAAGTTGCAAGTTATAATTTCAGTTTGCTACTTTACTTTGCAATTTTATCGTATTTGTAATAGCTGGTAGAAACACCTCAACTAACCTTTCTAGCATTGACAGTACTCCTCATATGATAAAGATTTGATCAATTACTCTTGACAGCATTAGTATTTTCTTCCATGATGCTTCTTGTTGATTATTGTTGTCATCGTACACTAATTTTTTATGGAATAACTTATCAGGTGTATGTTCTGCACGTTTGATCAGACAGAGAACTTTGTCTTGGTTCCCGTAAAGAGTAATTATTAGAATGCGTAGCTTTTGGAATAAGTTTATCCCCCAAGTATGATTCTTGAATGTTCGATCACATTCAGGTGGAGAATTGCTTTGTTGGATGCCTTATAGAAAATAGTATCATAGAGAATAGAATTTGCCAATGAAACTATTAGTCAATTACTTAGATAACCACCTTATCTTCCATTTAATGTCTAGGTTCTGAAAGTTGAGTTCTTATTATCAAAGATTCAAAATTCCAGCGTGGACATATTCCAGTTCTTGAAGTCTTCCAATCAGCGTCTTCCTAATGATTTGAGCTCTACAACTCTTGAGGTAATTTATGCCCAAAATTATTGAGGGTTTTACTTTTAGTAAAGCTTGTACTTTTATTTTTGTGTTTATTAGTAGATTATAATTCATATATAATTATCATATTCTCTCAACGATTAGCAAAGGGTTTTTACTAAGATGAGAAGTCATCTATCAGAGAGTGAATGGAAATATGGCATTACAATTTTGAGATGTGAGAAAATAAAGAAATGTCTTCTTGATTTGATTTATAAGTTTAAAGAATGCTAAAGAGGATTCCACTTTTCAGGAGGTCTAACAATTGGCATGATTGATCACAGCACTGCTTGCAGAAAATTAAGCATGTAGGATATGAGCAAACATCGTCTTTCATTATTGAAGCCATAAGGGATCAACTGGATAGTCCTGGATCAAGCTCAGAAATTCTAGTGAAGATTGCTGAGAGCTTAAGCTTGAATTCAAAACAGGAGACTCTGATAGAGGCTATGGCCCTTGAAAAGTTGAAGGAGAATGCTGAAGTAGCTGAACAAATTGTAGAAGTTGAGTTCATTGGTCAACTTATTGATCTTGTAACTCGCATGCATAGTCGCCTTGTCTTAATAAAACAATCTCAGACCTGTAGCCCAGTTCTTATACCTCCTGAGTTTATCTGTCCCCTTTCCCTAGAGCTAATGGCTGATCCAGTGATTGTCGCATCAGGACACACCTATGACCGGGATTTCATCAAGAAATGGATTGATCTTGGGCTGACTGTGTGCCCCCAGTCACGGCAGACTTTGGCTCATACCATTTTTATACCTAATTACACAATGAAGGCACTGATTGCAAATTGGTGTGAGTCAAACAATGTGAAGTTGCTTGGTCCCATTAAGTCCATGAGTTTAGATCAGCCCTGTCCTCTTCTTGAAACCGAGGTTAAGAAGCTGGTTGATGCCTTGAAGAGTCCGTCAATTGAAACTCAAAGTGAGGCCACGGCTCATCTCAGGTTACTTACCAAGCAGAGTAGGGACAATCGGATTAAAATAGCAAGATGTGGGGCGATTAGCTTGTTACTTGATTTACTTTATTCACCCGATATAAAGACTCAGGAAAATGCAGTTACATCACTGCTCAACTTATCAAATATTGATAGCAACAAAACAGCTATTATGAACGCAAATGCAATTGACCCTCTGATTCATGTGCTTGAGACAGGAAGTCCTGTTGCTAAAGAAAACACGGCTGCCGCTCTTTTCAGCCTTTCAGTCCTCGAGGAAAACAGAGTCAAAATCGGAAGGTCTGGGGCGATCAGGCCTCTTGTTGATATGCTGAGGAAGGGTACCCCTAGGGGAAAGAAAGATTCAGCAACAGCCTTGTATAATCTGTCAAGATTTCATGAAAATAAGGCTCGAATCGTGCAGGCTGGTGCCATAAGATATCTTGTGGATTTGATGCAACCATCGGCCGGGATGGTTGATAAGGCAGTATTTCTTTTGGCAAAGCTTGCTACAATTTATGAAGGAAGGACTGCAATTGGGGAAGAGGGTGGGATCATTCCTGTGCTGGTTGAGGTTGTGGAATTGGGTTCAGAAAGAGGAAAGGAAAATGCGGCTGCTGCACTTCTACTTCTCTGTACATACAGTAATAGGTATTGCAATTTGGTGTTGAAAGAAGGAGCTGTTCCACCATTACTGGCATTGTCCCAGTCTGGCACCCCCAGAGCTAAAGAGAAGGTGATACTGCTTCTGGTCTTCGTTTTTTATTTTTCAATCAATTCCTTTCTTTTAACCCTGAAAAATTAAACAACATAAAGCTGATGTTTGTTGCAGGCACAGGCACTTCTGAGCTTCTTCCGAAACTACCGACATGGTAATGCTGGAAGAGGCTGAATGTATTGCAGTGAGCTTGCCAGCATGGGTTGGGATGAGTGAATAATCTTTGTTCCATTCACCATATTTGTTTACTCGTTATTTTTCATACACTACTAAACAATTTGACTGATTTCATGATTTGTAAACTGTGCTTCTTGTCCAATACCATGAATTTAGTGATCTGTTTTCCTTGTTTAAACTACTCACCAGCTCTCAAAATCCTTTCTTTATAATATACTCGGTGAACAAAAGTTAACTCTTCAAAATTGTTTATTATATATGGATTTATAGATCTTAATGCAGTGCTACAACTTACAAGTGTTTTATAAAGAAATTGAATACAGCTCTAGAGAAGTTTACTTTCAAGGTGAGAGATTATACTAGTATATTATCTTTTATACCAGAATAACAAGATTAAAGCAATGGATTGTGATAGACAAAATAGGTTGTACAATGATTATAAGTAGTCTAGGAAATAAATTTGAACATCAAATTTGCTTTTCTTGTCCGTTCACTCTTACTATTTTCCACTCATCATTCTTAATTTGCGATGAGGAGAACCTATTGAGTAGTTTTAATGATAAAAGAAAATTTTATTTTTATTAGAGAACTCACATTCGAATAGCTACGTCTGCATAGTATGCATCTACCATGTAATCACCTGAAACTATTAAAAAAAATTATAAGTCATGGGTAGTACATGTTGACAAATTCATTATCTAACTGTATGCTCCGTATTTTTTTATTAATTTTTTAGACTGCCTGTTGAATGATCACCATTGTCAACCGCCATTGTTTGCTAACATAAGATCCAGATGTATTTGAATACAATACTGTTGAATCAATCAAATGAGATACATTACTAAGATAAATTCGATGAAATTATTTTTGATAAATCATCAAGTTTGATTGACGATTGATAAAGGTTAAAGAAACAAGATTTGACTTTGAATGGCTGAATGTCCTATAAAGATCCATCAAAAATTGAAAATGCAGGGTTAAAGAAGGTGATCCAGATTAACGTGATAATTAGGACATTCACAAGACAAGGAACTAATGTATCGTACTTGATTAACGTGATAATTAGGACATTCACAAGGAAGGAACCAATGCATCGTACTTGTCCCAAAGCAACTTCAGCTTGGTGAAGTAAGTAGAATAAAAAAGATCCCTTACACAAATATAGCAATTTCTCTGTACAGAGAGAAAATGTAACAACTATCAATGTAACATACAATACGAATAGACATATCCGTATACATCAATATGTCATAATTATTATATTAAAATCATAACATGGTAAATGATAATATATATATATATATATTATTCATGTTTAACCATAAATTATAGATCATTTATAATCATATATTCAGACAATATAATAAAAATTAAATAGGATAATTTAAGTAATATCATAATTTCATAACAACAATGTATTAGGATAAGCATAAGAATAAGCAAAACACCCATTAACTTACTGCTTTTTTCTTTTAATTTTTCTTTTCTTTCTTTTCTTTTTTTCCGTACGCACGTTTTTCAGCTAGCCTTTGGCGTAGTATTATATTTTTGTAAGAATCAAATTATAAATAAATATGAAAAACTAACCAGATTAATCATGTCAAATCATCAAAAACAAAATATTAGATTTGCAGAAACGTACCTGAATTAATTGATAGATTGAAATCTTTGAGTCTTTCTTTGGTTGTGATCTTCCAAGAAGATAGGTTTTCTCTTGCTGTAAAAACTCTCTGATGGAGATAAGAGTCATACAAGTTAATCTATTTCTCGGGGACCACTACCTCTTTATATAGATTGAATATTAGGTCAATCTTTTAAGTATTTATAATTTTGTCCCTCATCAAATTATAAATATAACTTATGGTATCTACACTTTGATTCCATGACACTTTACATATAACAAATGTAACATAATTGGTGACTTAATTTTGTGTCATACTTTATGATAACATTGTACATTATACATATGTGCCCAAAAATATAGATTTTAATCCAACAATCTCCTACTAGGGCAATATATGTTTCCTAAAATGTACAACCTTAAGAGCTCAAAATTTGCTATCATATATTAAGTATTCTATAACAATCTCGTCCATCAACTATATCCATATAGAATCAAAGTGGCCTTTGCCATATTTATCATGACTAGACCCATCAATTGTCATGTATACAAACACAGTCAAATGACATAGATCAATCATGAAGAATAGCATGGAAATTACATGCAATGTATATCGCACATGTCTATTTTCAACTAGTCCTCTTTAAACATTAGTGAGATCAATTTTTACCAAAACCAAAGTGGATAAACCAAAACAAACTTTATTTCTACACAAATTAACTTTAACATAAATATCCTTAAATTGAAGTAACTAAAATTGTGTCTATAACAAACGAGCATTAATATTACAAACTCCCACTAAAATTGAATATCTTTAAATGATATTACACCCACATGAGTAGTGTGCTCATGAAAGACCTTAGTTGACAGTTCTTTAGTAAGTGCGCAGTTATGAGTTTGTACCAACATGATCTATAAACACATAATCACTCTGAATTTTCTTTAACAAACATATACATAATGTCTATGTGCTTAGACTTAAGGTGTTTCTGTTATATATTGAATAAAGGACTATAATGTAGTTGTCACAAAATAAACTCAAGTGGTCTTTCTTATTAATCCATAATTAGCAGTTCACATGACAAAATATTGCATCCATATTTCAATAAGCTGGAGTCCATAAACCTGGTGATCTCTTAATTACTAGACTTTTGATATGTGAGCATGTAACATTTTTGTTCTTAAATGTATTGTATGGATCAATTTGTCTACTATCCAATGATCTATACCCAAATTGCTTAAATATCTGCTTAATATCCTAAAATCATACGATATGTCTGAATGTGTATAAACCTGAGGATACATTAAATTCTTTATTTATTTTTGAAGTGTAATGAACCTTTTACATTTCCTTAGTTTCAAAATCAGCATTAGAGCATTGATCAAGACTAAACTTGGTTCCTTTAGCAATAAGGGGTATTATTTGGTTTACTCCCAGTAAACTTATATATAGTATATACAATTATCAATCAAATTCATCTCAAAACCAAACGAGATAATCATTTGATAAACTTTGTTATACAATTAACGGTAGTCATATTAAACTCATAAATGGATTTCTATAATTTGCATATCATTAGTTTTGTATCATTATATACAATTTTCTAATTGCACTGTATAAAATATTTCATCATTGTTATCATTGAGAAACAAAATTTTGAAATCTAACTTATGAAACACAAAATCAAATATGAGAAACAAGTATCATATTATCCTGAAAGAGTTTTTCAATGAAATCAAAGAGAAAGTGTTGAAAACATTTTTTATGTTTCGATATAACAAATTAAATGTTATTGAATTTTAAGATTTTACATCATTTTCAAAGTATATTCGATTCAATTATTCGAATATCAAAATATTACTCCAAGTTTTTCAAAGTTCAATTTAAATCCTTACTAGAGGAAAAAATTGTGTTTTATACTTAAAATACTTTTGAAACAATTTTCACAAAGTATTTCGACCCAAAATCGAGCCAAAAATCAAATTTACAAAGTGATGTACCGATGCACTACATTGATGCATCGATGCACACCCATTTCGGATGCATTTTGTGTACCCGATGCACAAGCCATGCATCGATGCACTCTTGAATATTCTGAACATCGAATGCATTTTGTGTACCGATGCACAGACCATGAATCGATGCACTCCAGGCTCATTTGAAATATCGAATGTAATTAGTGTACCGATGCACCCCTAGTGTACCGATGCACTAAGTCTTATAACGGTCGAAATATTTGAATTTTACACATAGTGTACCGATGCAACTTGGCTATGCATCGATGCACACACGCTCCCAACTGTTTTATTAATTGTTTCCACATAGTAACGACTCTATTGACTCCACTAATGATTCCCAATGTTCAAACCTGATCCAAGGAGTATTTAAATAAGCTTAGGAGCCATTGATTAACAACAACTAAGAAGAGAAGCTAGAGAATCAAAGAGAAAGCATCAAACCTCAAGTTTGAGCATTTCAAACCTATTTTTCATTCAATATTCATTTTGCTTTCAAGAACACCATTTGTGTTCTATTGTATTTATTTTTTAGTATTCTTTCTTTGTTCTAGAATTGTGCAAACATCTTACCTTGTGAGGTTTTCTTGTAAGTTTGCAAATTTGTGTATTTCTCTTTGGGAGAGAGTGTTCTCAATAATTTGGGGTATAATTCTTGAGGGAGTTGTAAGGTTACTCTTTGTCCTCAAAAGAAATAACAAATTAGTGGATTTGTTGGAAAATACTTAGTGTGGATAGCTAAGGTAGAGGACATAGACTTTGGTTGAGAAAGTTGAACCACTCTAAGTCGTTGTGCAATTATTTTCAATTTTCTACAAAAGCTTCCACCAAAATTTTTATTGCCAATTCACCCCCTCTTGGCCGATTCTTCGATCGATTAACTCAATAATTGGTATGAAAGCCTCACTCATTTGAAGGTTTAATCGCCTTTTGAGTCAATTCGGGAAAAGTTATATCGATATTCAAGTCATCAATGGTCTTCACTTTAAACTCCGACTTCGGTCTTGATTCTATGCCCATCAATAAGCCTCCTTACTTCAGTGGAGCTAATTATTCTTATTGGAAGAATATAATGAGGTACTTCATTCAAGAAAGTGACATGGGAGCATGGAATATCATAGAAGATGGATACTTCATTCCTTCCACTCATTCAAGATTGTGGAGTGAAGCAAAGACAAGAATGTTCCAGCTCAACTCAAAGGTTATCCACATTATTTTTTGTGCTCTTGGACCAGATGAATACGGGAGAGTTTCATCTTGTACAACCGCCAAGGAGATATGGGATAAACTTAAAGTCACTCACGAAGGCACAGATGAAGTAAAAGAATCTAAAATTAGTCTTCTAACTCATAGTTATAAAAATTTCAGGATGAAAC